GCTGGATTTAATCTGTATCTCTTATTTGCTTCTGCTACTATCAGTGTTGCATAACTCCATTCAATCTTGATACAATTTGAGTATAGTGATGAAGCTCTTATTATGCTTTCACAGCCACAATCAAGGAACGGGGTCAACAGCTTTGGTGGCCTTGGAGCAACTTTAATAGACTCTCTGGATACACTTTATATCATGGGACTTGATGAAGAATTTCAAAAGGCTAGAGAGTGAGTTTTATCTTTCTACAGCTCAACCTTCATTTTTATGCACTGATATTTCATTATTTGATTTATTTCTCTCGGTTTCTCCATCTGGATGAACTACTTGTATCATTGATATTCCCTTTTAATAAAGTGAGAATCTTTTTCATGCTCATTACTTGATACCGAGTAGTTTTCTTTCTAGATGAACTTGTTGTCCTTACTTGCATGACTATTGTCTATGAAATACTTTTTCAATAAGAAGCAGATAAAAACTAAAATTATTGAAGTGCATTTGTTTGTTTGAGTATATTTATTTGTATTGTGTTAACTGGCAAGTTTTGCATATGGCAGGTGGGTTGCAAACACTTTGGATTTTAACAAGGACTATGATGCTAGTGTTTTTGAGACAACCATAAGGTTTCTTTATAAGGTTTAATATGCCTATTTTTACAAAATGAGCTTTATAGTTTTCTTGGTAGTTGTTAACTTGTTATGCTATTAGTAACTCATTTCTTGTGTTTCATCTGTTTTGTGATGATTGTTTTGCACCAGAGTTGTAGGTGGACTTCTAAGTGCATATGACCTCTCTGGGGATAATGCTTTCCTAAAAAAGGCTCAAGATATTGCTGACAGGCTTTTGCCTGCATGGGATACACCCACCGGCATCCCTTATAACATAATCAACTTGGCACATGGGAATCCACACAACCCAGCATGGACAAGGGTAAATGAGTACTTTACAAGGCTATAGTTGCGCATGTTAATACATATTACCCCGTATACACAATTTCTTTATGTAACTAATTTTTCCAATGCTCTGGCTATCAGGGTGACAGTATCTTGGCGGATTCTGGTACTGAGCAGCTTGAATTTATTGCTCTTTCTCAGAGGACAGGAAACCTAAAGTATCAGCAGAAGGTAATTCCAGTGAATGGTTGAGGTCCATTTGGAATTTTGGGAAATGATAGGGAAAGAAAACAGAAGGGAATTAGGGAAATTGAATATAAAATTTTGACGAAAAGGAAATATGGGTCAATGGGTGGATATAAAAAATTGCTTCAAACTAAACAAAACTATTTCAGATATTTGTTCAAAATCATTTTATTTAAATGTTTCAATAATATGTATACAGTCAAAGAATTCTAAAATAAGTGCATGACAAATCCTAAAAGGTTGTAGTCAAATTTGATGCAGAGGATGGACACGTATACCCATGAACTATGATACAGAGCACATATACCCCTTTACTTTTTTGAACATTAAACACACAAAAATAGATTGGGAACAAAAAAACCATATGTCAGACTAAAATGATGCTATTTCTTCTCTTCCCTTTTCAGCCAATTTAGGACTGCCAAGTGGCAGCCCAATTTTGTTTTTGTATTTAAACATGCTCTAGCTTTTGTATTCAGACTCGGCTTTTCTACGTAAAGTATATCAAACTGAACATATTTTTATGATCTTATACATGACATATAAATATAAGCATTTTCAATAATACAAAAAATATTGATTGCCGCATGGTAGCCCAGAATTGAGTTAAGTTTATTTGTTCCAACTTTACAATTCCTGTTTTTAAATGTTCCAAAAGAAGGTTGAGGGGGGAGTTTGTGTTCTTGAACATATAGTTCAGGGTTATATTTGTTCATTTTCCGAATGTGGTTATCCTTAAAATTTCCATGGTAAAACCAAACATAAATACCCATTTTGCTTTGTATTTTTTTCCCTTCCTCTACTATTTCCTGAGTTCCAAACATCTCCTTGAAGTTCCTCTTCCTTCAGGATTTACATATGTATGCATCTTTCTAGAGGCTAGTATTTGCAGCATCAGAGTTGGTACTATATCATCATTAATCCAAGTCTTTGATGCATGTCAATCTTCTGATATTGGTTAATGGCATGTGTTAATATTCCAGGTGGAGAATGTTATTTTAGAGCTTAACAAAACTTTTCCTGATGATGGTTTACTTCCCATCTACCTTAATCCACATAGCTGGAGAAAATCACACTCAACAGTAACTTTTGGAGCAATGGGGGACAGGTAATGAACTTCCATTTGTTTTGTATAATGTGGGTTAGTGGGTATGCTTTGAAGAAATTGTAACATTATATTGATTGTATTGTATAATGTGGGTTAGTGGGTTATTGTATTTCCATTTCTTATTTCTAATCACAATTTCATTCCAGCTTCTATGAGTATTTACTCAAGGTCTGGATTCAAGGAAATAAAACTGATGCTGTCATGCATTACAGGTAATCAGTACTTCCCTTCCTATACAGTCATGGTATTTGGGTTTTTTATCTGACCATTCCCCCAATTGAGTGTCATAAATTTTAGGTATAAAGTAACATCACTGTGTTTGTGTTTTTTTGGAATTAACAAGATCGTTCGACCATTGTAGGGGTAAGCATGTCCACCCCTACATTCCCAGCTACAGTGTATATAACCCCCCCAACAAGTTCCAGATTTCCCCTAAAGTTTTATCTTTTTCTCTATTGGGGGGAGTGGTGTTCCCTAATCGTGATTCTAATAGAAATTTTTGTATTCTAACTTTTCTATTAGATTCAATAGAAATGACAGGACAACCAAAGTTTTGGGACCAGAAATAATATGCAGTATTTACTTAATCATTATGTACTGCCGAGTCTTTGTTTGATCATTTGATGTTAATCCAAATCTTGAAAACAGAAAAATGTGGGAGACATCAATGAAAGGTCTCGAGAGCTTGGTGCGAAGGACAACCCCTTCATCTTTTGCTTATATTTGTGAGAGGACTGGGGGCTCTTTTACTGACAAGGTGATAAGTATAGGAGCAGGTATCTAAGTGTTTTTCCTATTCATTTGTTTTGAGCTTTGACTCAATCTTTTTTCTCTAAAAACATTTCAGATGGATGAACTCGCGTGCTTTGCTCCAGGAATGTTGGCCTTAGGTGCTTCTGATTATGATAGTCCTGATGAATCTGGAAAGTTCATATCATTAGCAGAAGAGGTACACCAATGCAGTGTCAGTCAAGATGTCATTCTTCTGTGGAGTACTGATTAAGTCAGTCTTATAAATACAGAGTATTTATAACACCCACATTATGTTGGAATATTCATTTTCTTTAGTTATTCAGATTTGTAATATAAATAATACAGACTAGGATGTCAGTAGTTATTTTATGCAATAATGCACGAACAATTTCTTGTGTTGATTTATGTTAGTTTTGAAAACTTTAAAAGTATCTATAATAAGTTATTAGTTGCTGTAGTCATGAACTAATAAGGCAGTTTTGATGTAATCGGGTAGAGTTTTCCAATGCATGGATTTAAATGAACTTAATAATCTATAAATAGATTTTGTCTTTTGCAGCTCGCTTGGACTTGCTATAACTTCTACCAGTCAACGCCAACAAAATTGGCTGGAGAGAACTACTTTTTTCATAAAGGGCAGGTTGGAATACTTCTGTTCCAATTATATTCTGCACTCATATGATTTTTGTGTTTTCATGTTATCCCATAGAGAAAACATGTAGTTGAATATGTTTGTTCAATATCTGGTTCTGGTTTTATTATTTTCAAGGATATGAGTGTGGGGACATCATGGAACATACTGAGGCCGGAGACTGTTGAGTCGCTTTTTTATCTCTGGCGTTTGACTGGAAACAGGACATACCAAGATTGGGGTTGGAACATATTTCAGGCATTTGAGAAGAACTGTCGTATAGAATCTGGTTATGTTGGGCTAAAAGATGTAAGAAGCGCTCCTCAAACTGCACCATGATATTATTGAGCCCATTTGGTGACTATTTTTCTCTTTATTAGACTTATCTTGCAGTTGCTGATATTTCTCTCATTTTGGTCATTTCCCAGGTGAACACGGGTGTGAAAGACAACATGATGCAGAGCTTTTTCACGGCAGAGACCCTTAAATATCTTTATCTTCTTTTTTCGCCGCCTTCAGTGATTCCACTGGACCAGTGGGTTTTCAACACAGAAGCCCACCCTCTTAAAATTGTTGACAGGGGGGGCTCTACTGGACAGTTGCAGCATACATCAGAGGTTAGATCTCGTGGTAGAAGAGAAGGTCAATTTGGTGGCGACTAGCCTAACTCAAACAGCTTTTTTTTTTATGAAAGAGATTGAGATCTTGCTGATGGACTGGATGGAGCCAATGGGATACACTTCAAACATCACTGTCCAGTTTTTTTAAACGGCAGCAATTACTGGATTTTTTATAGTTGGGGTCGGTATAGGTTATACTAGTTTTTTTAATTTTTTATGTGATGTCCCCCACCCGGCCTTCCTGGCTTTTGTGCAAACTTTTGGGGCAACCTGATGTACTATACTATACTCTTGCTACTACCCCTATATATTTAACATTTTTTGAAGTCCATTGGGAACACACCTTGATGATTATGAAAATGTTTAATCACTGGGACCTATTATGAGTTACACTCACATTATCGGGTGTACGATGCCTAGGATCAAAACGTACTCCTTGACAATGTGTTTTGTGTGTGTAGAAGCGGATAATTCTTTTGACATAACTTTAGTGTTCCTTGATTTTTATAGATCTGAATATACCAAAGCATAATACACCTCAAACCGAGGCCACTATAAAGCATAATACAAACAGTAACAATTTAGATGAGAAAGTTGTCTAAGAAATGAGAGCAATCTTTGAGGTCAGTCACAGTATAATCTAGTTGCAACTTCACAAAGATCCCTCTGAGAATATGCTCTCAACACAAACAGACAACTATAACTTGATAACAAAGTAATTAACGTGATAATGAAGCATTTCATGTGCTCACCTGTCAGGAGAAAAGAAGAGGGGACTTTGTTCTCCATCTGCAGATGACTGTGTATCACGTCTTGATGGCTTGCTGGAGATGAGACCAGCTTCTGCCAAGCCTGAAACATTACAAACATCAGGAAGTAAATTGGACCAATCCAGAAAAATACTTCTCAGAAGATCACAGACCTTGTATGCAGGGAAAGTCAGGATCTTCAATTGTAACATCATCAAAGGCTGAAAGGCAAGCTCAGTAACATTCTCGATAAACATTGCAAAATAGATTTTGGAGACAGTGGACCTAAAGACAAATACATCATGATAGCATGTATGCAATTCAGATGGTGATGGACATGCAGTCATTTTATGCATGTCTTAGGAAGCAGTATGTGTACTACTAACGTGATGCTCTATTTTAAGATCCATATACCTTGATAGAGCACAGCTAGACGCAACTAACCAAATTCAGACTTTTGAATGTTGTGGGAATGTGTTTTAACTTTTGGACAGTGAATGTTTTTGTAATTTATATTCTGACTTCATTGTTGTGATAAATTTGATTTGATTTGTGGTGCTCATTGAATTTTTTTTCAATGTCAAGTGATTGTTTGATAGTGATACTATTTTGGAAGAACAAAATTGATTTTTAATAATATGATTACCGGCGGGAAAATCATTCCCCGTTTTAACCGAGTACAATTTGGGTAAAAAATTCCCCAACGGGGAACGGGGTGGGTTCGGGGATAATAAGTTAAATATCGGGGTGGATACGGGTAAGGGTATACCCAGCCTCATTGCCATCCCTATCCAGGACCCCCTGGTCCACATACTCAAGCAACTCACATCCCCTTGGCGGGACCCTTCAGCAACCCGTCGGCAACCCTTCGGTGGGACCTCTTGACGACCTTTCAGCATGCCGTCAGCGGTAACCCTCGGCTATGAGCCCTCGACCATTATGCCCTCGGCTATGAGCCCTCAGCACTTCAGAACAACCATTCACGAATTAGCTTTTGTACAGTCTATTAGCTCAGCCCACATTTCTCCTACATATACTCTCCATTGGGAACCTTGAAAAGGATGGTTAATTAATATACATTCTCATTTTCAATATCTAACTCTCCCTTCTCTCTACAATAATATGTCCCATCATGGTATCTTGGTACCACTATTTATCAATATGTGTTCCATGTCAGCTATTCATTTAAAATTTCTTAAATTGCTAAAGTGATCCGTGAATTGCTAAAATTTCCTTATATATAAATATTACTTTACCCTTTTTATTTTATCTTTTATATGTATATTCATCTCTTTTATATTATCTTTTTTTATAAGAGCTTATCTTTTTTTTTCTTTTTTTTCTTTCTTTTCCTTTTGGTGATATCATGTATCGATTCATGTTAGCCGACCCCAATATCGTTTGGGACTAAGGCTTGGATGTTGTTGTTGTTGTTGTTGTTACTAAAGTGATCCGTGAACTAGCTGATTCTTGTCATGAACTAGCTGATACTTATCATGTAAGAGAGTGTTTGCAAAAAATAAAAATAAAAAACGTTTTTCAGCTTTTGGCTTTAAAAAAGCTGAAATTGGTTTTTTCAAGTGACAGCTTCTGCTCAAATTAAGCACTTAAAAGCTAAAAGTTGAAAGCAGATTGATGGATGTGCTTTAAACTGCTTTTCACTTTTTCTATTACACAAAAGCACTTATTTTATCAAACATTACCAACTTTTACTTTTTCAGAAGCACCTTTTTATCAAACACTATCAACTTTTACTACGGAGTATTAAACATTTTTTCAAAACCACTTGAAAACACTTTTCTAAAAATATGATGCTCCTTTCTCTGCTATTGTTCCAATTCTCAATCTTGATTGAGTTTGTTCATTCAATCGCCTCTTCTTCGACTTTGCCGTTCAATTGCCTCCTTCGCATATGTCGTTTCGTTTCTCTGAACCGTATCTTGGTCATGTTCATCTTTTCGTTCAATCGGCTCCTTCGCATTTGTGAACCTTATCTATGGGATTTAGGTGGCCGGTCACCCAAATAAAATCTCAACTATGCTCAGTATGTAAGGTGTTAGAGACAGTTTCTTAATTTATTCTTGGAAACACGTTTCTTAATTTATTTTTGGAAACACATCCTAATTTAATTAGGGGTTATGTTGCTTTGGGAACAAGACACTGCATCTCTATAAATACCACTCTCCTCTCTTGTAATCTGCATCCAGAAAATATTAATAACATTCCTGGCTTGGTAGCGCCCCCAGACGTAGTCCTCTGTGGCGAACTGGGTTACCAAATTTCGTGTGTTCTTTAATTGTTCTTCGTGTTTGTGAGTTAAATTCCTAACAACTGGTATCAAGAGCCCTAGGTTCGAAGGGAGAGTTCAACACGATGGCAGATTTGAAGACACCGTTGATGCAGTTTGATGAGACTGATTTCGGCTTCTGGAAGCTGCAGATCGAAGATTACCTGTACGGTAAAGATCTGTATCAACCTCTGGAGGATAAGCCGGAAGACAAGAAGGAGAGCGATTGGAAGTTGCTGGACAGGAAAGCGATGAGCGTGGTGCGATTGTCGCTGTCCAGAAACATCGCCCTACATACCGTCAAAGCAAAAACGACGAAGGAGATGTTGCAAATATTAACGGATATGTATGAGAAACCTTCTGCTGCGAACAAGGTACATCTCATGAGGCGTCTTTTTCACCTTAAGATGTCAGAAACCACGGGAGTTGTGGAGCATCTCAACGAGTTCAATTTAATCACCACACAATTGAGCGCGGTTGAGATCAAGTTCGACGACGAAATTCATGCCCTAATTCTGCTGTCTTCTCTCCCGGAAAGCTGGAACGGAACGGTGACTGCAATCAGCGCTTCGGCAGGGAAGGAGAAATTGAAATTCGATGAAGTCGGAAATCTGGTGCTCAGCGAAGAAATTCGCAGGAAGGAATCAGGTTTGGCTTCTGGATCGGCGTTGAGTACAGAGAACCGGGGCAGAACGAAGTCAAAGTCAAAGTCAGATCGGGATAGATCAAGATCCAAATCCAAGTCAAACAGCAAGGGCAAGAAGGACAGAAGTCAGATCAAGTGCTGGAATTGTGAGGAGTACAGACACTTCAAGAGCCAATGCAGCGGCAGAATCATCGGGTGATGATCTCCTGATTCTGAGCGTGAGCAGTCCATTGGAGTCATGGGTTCTGGATTCTGGAGCCTCGTTCCATTCATGTGGTAACTCTGAAGTGATGGAACAGTATACTCCCGGCAATTTTGGAGAGGTGTATCTTGCTGATGATGAGCCTCTTAAAATTGTTGGGAAGGGGACAGTCCATGTGAAGACTCTGAACGGATGCATGCTGAAACTAAATGGTGTCCGACACATTCCTGGTTTGAGGATGAATCTTCTTTCAATTGGGCAGCTGGATGAGGAAGGTTATGCAGTTACATTCGGCAACAGAAATTGGAAGATCACCAAGGGAGCCTTGCTGGTTGCTAAGGGGAAGAAGGAGGGTACGTTGTACATGAAAACGAACTCAAAGGACTGCATCGATGTTGTTGCCGTTGCAAAAAACGATGTGAATTTGTGGCACTGTCGGCTCGGTCACATGAGCGAAAAGGGGATGAAGGAGCTGTGCTCGAAGGGCAAACTGCCCGGCCTGAAGACTGTTGAGGTTGGCTTATGCGAGGACTGCATATTCGGGAAACAGAAACGTGTCAGTTTCTCAAAGGGAAGACGAGCTATCAAATCGGAGAAGCTGGAACTAGTTCACACCGACCTTTGGGGACCTGCAGAAGTTACATCCTTGGGAGGATCCGCCTACTACAAGACCTTTATTGATGATGCCACAAGAAAGGTGTGGTTTATTTTCTCAAAAATAAATATGATGCCTTTGATGCTTTCAGGAGGTGGAAAGCTCGTGTTGAGACAGAGTCAGGTCTGAAGTTGAAGTGCCTTCGGTCAGATAATGGGGGTGAGTATGAACTGCATGAGTTCAAGAATTTTTGTGCTGAGAATGGGGTTCGTATGGAGAAGACAACTAAGGGGACTCCGCACCATAATGGCGTTGCTGAATGCATGAACAGAACACTGAATGAGCGGGCTAGATGCATGAGGTTGAAGAGTGGCTTACCGAAGATGTTTTGGGCGGATGCAGTGAACACCGCGGCTTTTCTCATCAACAGAAGTCCAACGATCTCGTAGGAGAATGGCATTCCTGAAGAAAGGTGGACGGGTAAAGAGGTAAATCTGTCCTATCTCCGCATATTTGGTTGTGTTGCTTATGTTCATATCAGTTCCGTTGACCGAAGCAAGTTAGACGCAAAATCTGTGAAGTGTACGTTCGTTGGATATTGTGGTGATGACTATGGATACAGATTCTGGGATGAGCAGAATAGGAAGATTATTCATAGTCAAGATGTGGTGTTCAACGAGCAGGTTCTGTACAAGGACAGATTGAGCGCATCTGATTCTGAGCAAGAAAGTCCGAAGATCATAGAGCTGGATATCTCTAATTCGGGTGGGAGCAAGCAGGATCAGAATGAAAATATGAGCAGTGATGAGGATCCATCAACTCCGCTAAGGAAGCGGCCTGCTAGGAACCGAAGAGCACCAAATAGGTATTCACCTTCTAATTTCTATTTGTTGCTTACTGACGGTGGTGAACTGGAGTCCTATGCAGAGGCAGTTCGGGTTGATGACAAGGGCAAGTGGAAACTTGCAATGGATGATGAGACGACATCTCTCACATCTAATGATACTTGGAGGTTAGTTGAACTACGGAGAGGAAAGAAGGCTTTGCACTACAAGTGGGTCTACCGCATCAAGAAGGAGGCAGATGGTAGCAAACGCTACAAAGCTAGGCTGGTTGTGAAGGGTTTGAGCAGCGCTATGGTATTGATTATACCGACATATTCTCTCCAGTTGTGAAACTAACTACTATTCGGTTGGTGTTGGGGTTAGTTGCTGCAGAAAATTTGTTGTTACATCAGATGGATGTGAAGACTGCATTCCTTCATGGTGATCTGAATGATGAGATTTACATGGTGCAACCAGAGGGCTATGTGGCAGAGGGCAGTGAGAATCTCGTATGCAAGCTAGTGTAGAGCTTATACGGGTTGAAGCAGGCACCGAAGCAGTGGTACAAGAAATTTGATGGTTTCATGCGGGAAATCAGTTTCTTGAGATGTCACACCGACAATTGCTGCTACTACAAGAAGACTGAGAACTGTTATCTTATCTTGCTATTATATGTAGATGACATGTTGATTGCAGGAGCTAGTTCAAAGGAGATTGAGAAGCTAAAGAAACAGTTGTCAGAACGTTTTTCCATGAAGGATCTTGGAGAGGCAAAGCAGATTTTGGGCATGCGAATCGAGAGGGATGAGGCAGCGGGCAGATTATTTCTTTCACAGGCAGAATACATTCAGAAGGTCTTGGAAAGATTCAGAATGCAAGATGCTAAGGCTGCAAGTGTTCCATTGGGTAGTCACTTCAAGCTTAGCAAGGAAGATTCTCCAAAGAACAAGGAGGACCGTGCTCAAATGCAGAAGATTCCATATGCATCAGCAATTGGCAGCATCATGTACGCTATGGTTTGCACGAGGCCAGACATTGCACATGCGGTGGGAGTAGTGAGCAGATACATGGGAGACCCCGGGAAAGAACACCGGGAAGCTGTGAAGTGGATCATGAGGTATTTGAAAGGTACTGCTTCTAATGCTTTGTGTTTTGATGGAAAGAATGTAGAGCTGTTGGGACATGTTGATGCAGATCTGGCATCAAATGACTCGGATGGATCTGGAAGACAACCACAGGGTATGTTTTTACATTTGGTGGGACAGCATTATCTTGATACTTGAAGTTGAAGGCCAGCGCTACCATGCTAACAAGGGAGGATTTGAAGAAGACAGTCTCAAGGTGGGAGATTGTAAGGTGTTAGAGACAGTTTCTTAATTTATTCTTGGAAACACGTTTCTTAATTTCTTTTTGGAAACACATCCTAATTTAATTAGGGGTTATGTTGCTTTGGGAACAAGACACTGCATCTCTATAAATACCACTCTCCTATCTTGTAATCTGCATCCAGAAAATATTAATAACATTCTTAGCTTGGTAGCGCCCCCAGACGTAGTCCTCTGTGGCGAACTGGGTTACCAAATTTCATGTGTTCTTTAATTGTTTTTCGTGTTTGTGAGTTAAATTCCTAACACAGTAAGCTTCTCTTTTATTTTATATTTTTGTTTCCTTAAAGTTTCATCAATTCTAAAATACATTCACTTTATATTGCCTTGATTTTTGCCTGGTAAAATTATTAGCACAAATTTGCATTTTGGGTTATGAACTCTACTTTTGTCCTCCGCTCAATGGATGTTTTCAAGTACCGGATTTCAGCTAGGTAAGATTCATGTGAGTGGTGTGGTGGGTTTTTCTCTTCATTTTCATAGATGTTTAGTTACTACAAGACTACAAGTATTATCTTTTTTCTTCTATTTTATAGGCATATCATTTCTACGAGTAATTCCTTCACATTTGTACTGCCTTTTGCATTTTAGGCATATATTTCTACACTTTTTTTTGGGTGTTCAATTTTACATAGCAGCAATTATTACAATTCTCTCTGCTCTCTAGAGAGGAACCCTAAGGGATCGTCTCGTCTTTCTAGAGGTTCCAACGTTTGGGATTGCAACTAGTCGGAGGAGATAACATTGGCGGATAAACGAGATGTGGCTAACTAGCTGGGGATCTGAGGTTGTATCGAGACGGGATCGTGAAGCCTTGGTCGGCCATTCCGACAGTGATGGAGTTGGTATCCACCCATATTGTAAGAGCTTGTCCTCCTCCGAAACAACCTCCATATCAGGAAGAAATTTGTGGAAAGATTTTATTTCAGTATTATTTTCTCTTTAATAGCAATTGTTTGAATGTTTGAATTTTTGGAATTCTTTTGATAGGTAGGGTTTCGGTTCCGATCGTTTTAAGCCTAAATTTCCCGTTTCAGGTTTAGCGAGTCATGTTGTTTTGTATAAAGTGACTGACTCTAAGTCTACTCCTAGAGTTCACGATTGGATCTGTAAATTCTTTCCAAAAGTTGTCTTGTATATGTTCTCGATTTTAATATAACGATCGCTCTGAAAGTTACTAATGTACAGTTGCAAACCTAAACTACTTCTTTAGCCTTTTATTTTACGCTTCTGGTCACCAAGAAGCGTTAGACGGTGGAATTGTTTTTTTCCTATTATTTCAATGGGGCTTCCTTTTTATTTATGTTAGTTCTATTTGAAGTTTTTTCTTGGAGCCCGAGTCTAAAACACACTGTTGTGCATGTCCATTTGTTAATATACTTTAGAAAAATATATTTATTAAATTAATTTACTCATAATAGTCACAAAATATAATACTAATGTCGCTCATTCAAAAGCACGCAATTTTTTTAAAGTAGTTGTATAAACCAAAAAAAAAATCGACGTAAGAACAATAATGAAATGTCAAAAGTAATCAATTATTTAAGTAGTCTTATAATTACCTAATCAAGAAAAGGTAGTTTACTAATAAAATTCACACCAATATATTTCACACCCATACAATCAACCATTTAAAAAAATATATTACTAATGTCGCTCTTTTTATTGTCAAACATTTTCACTTTAGTTAATTCAATCTTTTCAGACTTTTTCAGTCATTCGGACCATTCCAATCAAAGCAAGTGTTACCGAACAACCCTTACTTTCGTTTGTCATTTAGGCTGCATGCAACCCTATGGGTGAAAACCCAATTTTAAGCTATTGACTCTCAAATATACTGCAACTCGTGTTTTTGTCAGTGCCAAATTGGTTAGATAGCACCGGTGGAGGCGGGGGAGGGGAATTTGGACGCCTCATTCACGGAGAGAGAAGACAACTGCATATCTTTTGCGCTCATGATATTTCACAAATGAGTGGGGCTAAGAAAATTAAATAATCCCAAATTAATTTAATCCATTATAACTTTTTTACTTGTAATCCATTTTTTATATAAAAAACATATATATCAGAATTTTTAATTTTTTATGATCTTTCATACACAAATATTGTATATATAAAGTTTAAAAAAATAAAAATATGTATTTTTCATTAGTTGGAGATATTTATGTTCATATTTTTGGTTAAGTACATCGAAATGCTAAAAATAAGACCTCATGGTTAAATAATTTTTTACACCTTTCATTTTTTTTCAAAAACAGGTATAAACTAACAAAAATAAATAAAATCCAAATTTATTTTTACAATAATTATTCACAAAAAAATATTGAGAAAAAAAATGATATAAAAGCAAGGTTTTAATGAAGAATATATTTGATAGTTGAATATATTGACGGTGCTGAATTGTCGTGAAAATTGAATTGACTAAATAAATATGTATAAATAGTGGGAAATTTGATTTATTGACGGAGCTGGGTTGCGATTGACGGAGCTGTTCTAAGAAATTCTTAGGCCCGGCCCACATAGGTTCAACTGGTGCCACTGCACAGGTACCCATTCATAACAGAGCATCCAAATTTTGTTATGATCCATGAGAAGATACTCGAGGAATTGACGAAACAGAGCATGTTTGTAACAGGTGTTTCCAAATAAGACATATCCAATTTTTTTGACAAAAAAAGTCAAAACGGAGTTCCCAACTCCGAAAATAAAAAGTGGTCAAAAACAACTTTATTGATTGCGGATTTCTGAACTCCGAAACAGAGTTGCATCAGGCTTTCTTATTTTCAGATCTGCCAAATCCGAATTCAGAGGATTAGATTTCCGGGCTTCGTGATTGGTTGGCTACAGATCGGAGGATAGTTTTGTTGTTATAAATTCACCTCCCCACCTGCTTCCTCCCATACCTTCATCCGAGCCCCCCTTCAACCTCCTCTCAACCCCTCAAAAGGTTAGTAACTTATTCCTCCTCCTTATTCATTATTGTTATTATTATTAATATTATTATTATTAGTATTATTATTATTTATAATTAGATACAATTTATGTTATTAATGTGTGCATATGTTTATTTATGACTTGAAATATTACGAAGTAAATTTTACGTCGGTAATAAGTGTAGTAATCTTTTTTTATTATTATATTAGTAGTAATAATTGTAGAAAAAGGTTTAATATTTCTATAAAAGTAGGTGAATAGAAAAAATGACATACTATTTCTCGTGTCAGATAAAAAATACACTTTATCAAATAAAAATATTTCCGGTCAGATAAAATACCTCGGAATACGCACCCATCCACTCCACACCTAACCTCATTATTTCTAACCACCCCAATAATGTCTCCTGTCAGATAAAAAAATACACTTTATCAGATAAAAATATTCCCGATCAGATAAAATATCTCGGAATACGCACTCATCCACTCCACACCTAACCTCATTATTTCCAACCACCCCAATAATGTCTCCGGTCAGATAAAAAAGACTTTATCAGATAAAAATATTCCCGGTCAGATAAAATATCTCGGAATACGCACTCATCCACTCCACACCTAACCTCATAAATTCCAACCACCCCAATAATGTCTCGTGTCAGATAAAAAAAATACACTTTATCAGATAAAATATCTCGGAATACGCACTCAGTGATATTACAGAGTAAGTTGTAGGTAGGTAATAAGTGTAGTAATCTTTTTTATTATTATATTAGTATTAATAATTGTAGAAAAAAGTTTAATATTTCTATAAAAGTAGGTGAATAGAAAAAATGACATACTACGTTTTAGTTGTTAAAAAATATATAAAATATTTAATAAATTCATAAGTTGTATTGGTAAATATATAATTCATATTAATATTTAAGTAGTTATAAAATAATAGTGGACACATCAAAATATAACGTTAGTTTTAATGTTAAACTACATAAAATTTTTAAACACATTTAATGAATGACTTAAAAACATGTAAAAAAAAATTAGTTTATGTTTGCTTGTTAATTGTAGGTTTGTAATGGCCGAACGAGTTGCACAACCAGGGCCTCAGGATCGTTCAGTGTTATTTATGCTACCCGATGAGCATCGTGCCGATCGTGTGTGGCATGAATCATCATTTCGTGACGTCAAACTGAAATGCCAGCACTATTCGAGAGAAGCCTACGTTGAGGAGGGTCCGCGTCATCCTGGGGTGGTACAGTTGCTGAGAGTATCGGGGTTTCATGGTGTGGAGAGAATAGGACAATTGCAGTTAGATTGGTCTCTTGTGACTGCGTTAGTGGAGAGGTGGAGACCCGAGGTACATGCATTTCATTTGCCCTTTGGTGAGGTAGGTTTGACCTTGCAGGACGTACAAGTGTTGTTGGGGTTGCCTGTTGACGGCATACCACTCACTGGTCCTACTATTACTGAGAAGGCAGCGTTATTGCAGATGTGTGCAGATTCTGTTGGTTTTATACCAATAGATGAGGATTTAAATTCACCCACCATAAAAGTACCGAATATCCACCGCATCCGATTAACTGAATGGAGCACTGAGAACGAGGTGACTCAACACACCAGAGCCCTCATTTGGCAGTTGTTAGGCGGTTCGTTATTCCCTACCACTAGTGCGAACATGGTTCGTTATTCCAGAACTTCTCGAGCTGAGCCCCGTCAAGAAACAAGATTTCCAAATGAGATGGATATGCGTCCAAGACGGAGAGAACAACATGATTGATTTGTATTTGTACTCTTATAATGTTATCTTTTTTTGTACTTTGTTTTAATGTTGTAAAATATTTATTAGCCATATGTTTTATGTGTACCTTTAATATGACTTATTGTGCAATGAACTTTGTTTAATTTTGAATTCGTATGACTTTATGGGTCACTTATAAATTAAACGTGTTATATTGTAAACTGTATTTGTATTTACTTTGGAGTTCATAACACTGAATGGGTCAACTATTTTTAAAAATCGTCACATTGATTTAATATATTGATACTTTTAATCAATGTAGTTTGTTCTTGTAAATATATTAACATATTGATACTTTTAATCATCTTTTCCGGGGTTCACATTATTTAATGGGTACGGCTTTTTAATCTGAATTACGTTCAAAAAATTATTTTGTTAATGTAAATGTAACAAATTTTTTACTATTTGTGCTCAAAACATTTAATGAGTCACTTTTGTAAAATGTGTGCTAATTTATTTTAATGGGTCAAATTTTTGTAAAACGCATGTTTTTATCTAAATCGGGAATCAGACGCAAATTCAACTTAAAATACAAATATTGTATGATTTTTAATTATGTTAACAAAATACGTTTTTTCGTAGGCAACAAGAATTATAAAAAAAAGTATGTTTTTTTATGTTGAACAAATACAACTTAAGTATGTTTTTTAATTATGTTGAACAAGAATTATATAAAAAAGTTCAAAACACAAAAACAAACACAACAAACAATTCATAGGCAACAAAAAAAACTACTCCTACTTTCGGCTTTGCCAACTCCGAAAATGGCCTCCCACCATATTTTTCGGAGTCCATTTTCGAGCTTGGTAACTCCGAAAACCGTACTGACAAGATGAATTCGGATCTGCCAACTCCGTTTTGCACTCTTTGCAATCCATTAAAAAAGTGCTTTTAACTTTTTTTTAAGAAAAAAGCACTTATTTTACCAAACACTACCAACTTTTACTTTCTCAGCTTCCGTGTAGAATCTACTTTTTACTTTTTCTATTACACAAAAAGCATTTATTTTACCAAACACTACTAACTTTTACTATTAATCACTTTTTCCCCAAAAGTACTTTTATTTAAGCACAAATGGTTGTAAACAAAACATTTGAGAAGTGAGAATACGAAACGATTGTTTTCTAGGAACGAGGAGGCCGTGCGACCGAATTTCATAAGATTCAATTTGTTCCGAGGATCGAGGAGTCGAGTTTATCCAACTACATGAACGAGATTATTATATATTTCTTACTTCAGGGCTTGAGCCATTGAATTACACCAGGCTTCTAGTCGAGATTATAGGGGGACGTCTCATTTCTCAGGTTGCTTCGGTGATCTTTTCTCTACGTCATTATATTATACGGAGTATTATTTGTTACCTTCTCCATTTTACTTTTGAATTAGACAATACTACGTATCAATTTGGATGTAAAAAGAGAAAAGAAGAAATATTTCAATATCAATACGTAGTACGATAGTATATTGTTAGTAAATATTTCGATGTACGTTTTGTATATTAGGGTCCCCACTCCCCAATTCAATTTTGAACAGGGTCCCTAATAGGTAAGGGCTGGGCCTGCTAAGAATCACTCGAGCTCTTGTGGTCAACAAGTAAGACTGTAAGAGAGTAGAAATGTGCTCTATATATCATTTAGCTGACAGAAATAAAGAAAATAGGAAACTGAAAAAGTTGAGAACTTATTGAAGATGGATTTGGAGCTTCTAAGTTTTAACCTGATCTATGAAATGCTTTCTAATAGATAGTTATTCCTTGTTTTTTGAACAGTGTTAACATTTCCTAAATGATGCATGCTTTTCCTCATCTTTGTTTATTTCACGATTATAGTTATTTCCTTGTCCCTTTTTTGTGTTGGAAGACTGTGGAAAGGAAGGGGAGGTAACTGGAGGGAGCAATGGGCTCCTTCAAACTCACCACATTTCACTCTTCCATTTGGGGTAATTTGAAGGATTGTTTTTTCTCCTAATTTCTTTTTTCTAGAATAACAAAATGTTTTCACATTTTTTTTACTGTTAAAGACACAATGTTGCATATATTTAAAATGATGAGCCCTTTAATGGGGTAGACCCTCGGTTTTCTAAACTTAGGTTGCTAGATTTGTTATCCTATACTTTTACACCCTCTTCATACTGGACTTTATGGAAATATGTTCAAAGCTTGAAACAGACAGATCATGAAACATACATGACTCAAAGACCCACACTCCTGAAAACATGAATCGGGAAATTGAACCACTTGAAATGCATAGGAAGGGGACGTAAATGGGTATGGTTGACTCACACCGATTATGAGAATAAATTTAATTTGATTTGCAAAATCTTTAGCATTACCCATTTTCAAAAAAAAGTGATCATATGTTGTACACTGTTATAGATGCTTTCTCAATTTTTTCTTTTGACATTATGGATGCTCTCTTGGACTTAAAGTACTAGTAGTTCACAAATACGGAGTAATAATTATGTAAATTTCAATTCCCTAGAACTCCGACTGGAAAAATGAGAATTTCACACAAATGTCAGAAGTAATGATTGTTCTCTTTAAACGAAATCTTTTGTAATACAGGCTCATGGAACTGAATATGTGAGACTTGATGCTCTTAAGCTCAAAATCAATATTTTTATCTAAACACCATTACTTGTGAAGAAACGAAAATAGAGAATTATGAAAGTTCGTTTCTGACATGCAACTCATTGTGTTACGTATTTTTTTTTTTCAAACTACTTAATTCTTTTCAATATTAAAAACTGGAAGCAGAAAACTATTTCACACATAGTCTACAAGACTTGTGTATTTCTTTTATGTTGTATGGTCTTTACTAGGTCATCTTCTAACAAATCAAGTTCTGATACTTTTGGTGAACTGCCTCCAACAAGGAAGAAAGCACAGATTCGTTCAAAGAAATGCAACAAAGTTCTAGTGCAGAAATGGATGACAAGCGGCTTGAAAGTTTTGATGCCTTCTGGAATGCATTGACTAGCATCAGTTCCCTCAAAACTCTGAATCAAAATCTTGGTCCTCTGAATGTGCATAGGTTTGATGCAAAGGCTGATCGGACTGGGAAAACTGTTGAAGGTGATGGAGAAGAGAGAAAGAAGGAACTTTCAGCAAGGTATAAGATTCACATCAGAGCTGCAAATGAAAATTCCGTGATTGATGGTCGTGAGCTAACATTTGCAAGAACAATTTCATTATTTCCTCATTTTGCTAGCTTGTTGCTATGGGGCCGGCATTTTAAACCGAAAAAAACCAAAAACTGACCCAAAAAACTGAACCACCAAAGGAAAACTCCAAACCGAAAAAATAGGGACCCAAAAATTGGGACCCGAAGTCTACCTCGGTTCGGTGGTGGATCTTGATATGCAATATGTCGGTGACTCGGTTCAACCAAACCGAACCGATAAGGCCCAACTGGGCAGTTGAGCGGTTGAGCCTAATCATGTATTTGAAATCATTATTTTTATTATATAAAAGTATATTTTGCCAACCCCAAATCCTTCTATTTCAAATACATCATTAGGCCCAACTGACCAAGTCCATTAAGCTAGTAAAATAATTAAAATTAGTTAAATAAGTAATCCTCCATTCACATATCAGAAGCTGCGGGAGTAATTTCACGAAGGTCAATCAGACGGACGCACGCGACTTGGCCAGCAGACTAGAGACTACTGCTACACCGCCGGCTGCAATAGCTCCGGCTACCATCTCCGGTCTAAGAGTGCAGGTAAGTATTATCTTATTTTTCACATTTGTAGAAGAAATTATAAATCTGGGAATCCTAAGAAACCTAATCCTTGTCCTGCTCTTCAACTGGATTTCATGGCAGTATGACAATCTGATATATTAATTATTTGTATTCATCGTATTCTCAAAGTATATTAAATAATTTTTAATATAAAAAATTATTTAGATGTTCTTGAACACTGTCAAAATTACTGACATATATGAAATTATTAATATTTTGTAATTTTATGTTAAAATGCAGGATGATTAATGGCAGTTCACAACTTCACATGCTCTCAACTTTGAAGTGCTATTGATTTGGATGTTCTTGAATATTGTCCTTTTAATCTTCTTGAACTTTGGAGTATGTACTTTGAATTTAGTTTTGATTGTCCCCATAGGCCCATATTATGGAACGTTAAAGAGTTGGATGTTTATTGTGTTGAATGTTGAATTTGTTCTGGAATAGACTGCTGGATTTTATTATTTGTGTCGATGAACTGTTGATGATTAAAATTATGTGTTAACTTAATAACTTTTTAGTGAGCTAGTAATTCAAGTTATAGGCTTCTTTACATTATTCTCTACTATTTTTTCTTGAAAAAATGTACTCCGTAGTTTAGTAGCAATGTATTTTTACAAGTTTTACTTTGCATATTAAAGGATAGGCTAAAGTGTCAAATAAGTACATGAACTAACTTAAAGTGTTCAATTAGCCCCATATATAAGAGGTTCTGCCCAGCCGTCGCCAATTGGGGCGGTTCCCAGTTGAATTTTTTGATGAAATTTTTTGAGCATCTTCTTCATCAAGTCTAGTTTACTCATATCAAATTTCAGCTAAAATTTAAATCGAGAAGGCAGTCAATTGATTTTCCGAAATGTACTGCGCTGTTTAATTTCGCAGTTATCTTACAAAATGCTTTTTATACAAGTTTCATACTCCATAAAAACACAAATTTATTGACATGATTGAAGAAGTTTCATATATGAGGTAGTCCAATGTTGTCAAAAGCTGCAGACTATGGCAGAGCATCTTGCCAGTGATTAACCATAGAAAATATCCTTAGTCTAAGGAAAGACTCTAACACCTTGGTGGGGAACTGGGGATTATTAGGTATTAGGGAGGGTTCTGTCAAATAATTCATAATAATATAATATTGGCTGAGGCACAAAGTTTGATGTAGCCATATCATACAGGTCACAAGTGATATGTAACATGCTTATATGCTCAGCTTTAGATGATGAATTTGTTAGTGTTTTTTTGTTTCTTGGTTTTTCAAGATATTGACATTTAGGTGATGAATTAAGTAGGTAACATACACATGGAAGCTCAGGTACTTTTCTGAAATGCGTTCTTGAAAAACTTATTAAAGTAGTTCAAGCTTATAAAAGAAGTTTCTCCATCCAAACTGTCCATTTAAAAAATTGTTGAAAAAAATTTAATGACAACAAAGTAATGCACATTTAAACATAATTAATTTAATCCCAGAATTGTATTCTCTGAACTCTGCCTTCCTTTTGTCATCCAAGGTCAGCGGATTTTGGCAATGACCTGTTCAACAAGCAGAACCAAATTTTTTCTTATTAAGTAAAAATTTGTCAAAGAATCAAAAATATCATTAATTTTTCAGAATGTACCTATTAATTTTCTTCAATGATAATAACTTCCTTAGGACGATCCCCCAAATGTGCTGAAACTATGCCATTGAAATCCTTAATATGAGCTAAATACGGGGTCTCCCACCCATTTGCGGATGGAAGTCTAAAACGATTCCAATTAGCAGCTATAGGAGATATTGGTGCATAAGGATCCATTGAAACCTACAATACATTTATAAAAATAATGTTACATTATTAAAATTAATATAGTCAATGTAGAATGCCAAAAAAGTGCATAGTAAAAATTATAATACATAGTAATAAGTTATGTAAGTACCTGACCAAAGTGATTGTCATTCACAAAACCCAAGACTAAGGGTTTGTTTACAACTGCTTTTAAAAAAGCACTACTCAACTTTTGTATTTAATAAGCACTTATTTTCCCAAACACTACAACTTTTATTTTTCTCGGCTTCCGAGTCAAAAGTGCTTTTACTTTTTCTATTACACAAAAAGCACTTATTTTACCAAACACTGCCCACTTTTACTTTTCAAAATCACTTTTTTTTTCAAACACTATCAACTTTTATTTAATCACTTCTCCCCATTTCATTAAAAAAAACATTTTTTTCAAAAGCAGAAGCTGTTGCAAACAGACCCTAAGACCTTTTGATGTTGTTCCAGAGGTGGACTAGATCGAAGTGGAAGAAATGTCACACACACCGACTTAGAAAGGTAGACCAAAACCACATTATAATTAGAAGCAATCAAATGACCATGGCTGGTAGAGTCATCCAATTCTTATATGGTGCCAGGAGTTCTGAAATAAGACAATTCTTCAAGTAATTTAGCAACATCTTCCATCGACTCATAGAAACTAACATAAAAAGGTCGATGGTTGCAAATCTCTTCAATCAACTCTTTGCGAACTTTTGTCCACTTGTCTTCTCCAAAACCTAGTAAACAAGAGATAGCACGAAATCCACGATGTCCGTCTGGTTTGACATCTATTATGTCAAAGATATAGATAGGAGTGTAAGTATGATATTAAACAATCCAAATACTTTTGAAGACTTTTGGATTTTTTTCTCAACTATTTTCTTCCTCACTTTTTCTAATGGAACACATATTTTACTTAATTCAGAGTCACGATTAGCAACTTTTGATTCAACAATTTCAAAATATGAAAGGTCACGTTGAGTTGAGAAATTTGCTTTGATTGGAGGACGACCCTTTGTCTTAGCCTTTTGGGGTGGTGGTATTAGGAATGTCGTTGATGGATCACCTAATTCTCTTAATTTTCGCTTCAGTGTCAGCTTTCCGGCCTGATCAGATTGGTCAAATCGTGTCCATATAGAGCTCATCTCACTGTCAATACTGACTTCAAATGTAGCCTCACCTTCTTGATATCTTTGCAAGTTTTAAATTCATCCAATGAAGGTTAATATCTGAAATAGGAATAGGTCGACCATGTCTGACATGTTCTACAATTTCATGTGCATAAGGCAAGCCATGTGTGCTTCTCATGACACACCCACAAAATTTTGACATCATTGCCAACAGTAGTTCCTCTTTCAGACTCGGTCAGGATCAAGTTTAATGCATGTCTTGACACTAATCCACGCAGATTCTCAAATAATTCCGGTCTGAAACTGTGTTCAACCACACTTAGACTTTTCTCAAATGAAGCCTCAATTAAAGCGTTGATTATCGTCCAAGAACGATCAAAGTCCAATTGACTTGAGACAATCCATTTCTTCAACTTTGCATGTGCACTCTCAGCTCTGTACACGATAAAGAGAAATAAAATAAATATATTTTGAATGTATTTACTAAATATAAAAATTGGAAATACATTGATTTTGACCATCATACCTATTCGTTGTCAAATTACCAAAATGCATGATTTTATTGGTCCAGGCTGCTACAAATCTCTCTTTATACGGATTCAACCATGTATCTCTCACATACTCAATGAGATTAAGATACCTTTGATAGTCACTCTCAATAGCATTTAAGTTTTTAGCATAGTCATTTTCATCTGACGACCACATCAAGACACTCCAAGCTGCCATGAAATCATCAGACTCTTCTTTGCATTTAAATAACTTCTTAGAATTTGCAAGCACATTTTTTGTGATATGAAATCTGCAAAGAAGATTTTTCGCTTCAGGAAACACTGTCTTAACAGATTTCATCAATGTCAAGTCTCTATCAGTGACAATTACACTAGGCATGGTATTAGATGCCATCAGTGTTTTTAACCTTTCCATGGCCCATGTGTAGTTTTTTTCACGCTCAGCCTCCATGTACACAAATGCTATAGAAAACGTAAGATCTGTACATGTCACACCAACTATCTCTAGCAATGGAAACCCATATCGATTAGTTTTGTAGGTACAATCCATAAGCAACACTAATGGAAAGGCATATAAAATAGTCATAGAAGCAGGATGTGTCCAAAACAAATCTGTCAAACAATCAGTTGAATCATTTCTCCTATGCCATTCCACATAGGAGAAATCATTCAATCTTTTTATAAGTTGTTGCATTTATGATCTTCCATCTCTCTCAATCTTTCTATGTTTTTGACGGACATTATATATTGTCTTCATTGTAGTAGTATTCTTCTCATTCTTCTCTTTTATCGTCATAAGTATGTTTCTCGGTTTAACCATATTCTTCGTCATATCTAAGAGCACGGTCTCTTCATCTTTACTTAATCTTCCCGTAAAAGAGTGTCCTTCAAGTTGCGCAGCTGGTGGGTGGTTATGAGAGTCGCAGATAACTTTTATACACCACTCGTCATTTTTTTCTAACTTTACACCCCACAACAAAAATGGACAACCTTTTTTTTGTTCCTGTCCTCCTACGACATGATGCTTCTTTACCTACTACTTTCTTAGGTTGCCTATAAGTTCCACCACGCTCACAACCAAGACGCAGTCTAGCCTTTCTTCCATCATTTGCAGCCGATCGAAGAAGAATGTATCACAATAACATAACCTAGATCCTTCCCGATTTCTCTACTCCATGCAAGTAATTCATCCTTACTGTTAAATACCTGTGGTATAAATTACTTCAATGAATTCTGTATGAAAAATTCCTTAGAAAATCAATGAATCCCTTGCAAGTACCAAATTTTTTACTTACTTTATCTGTATGAAAAGCTCCTAAGGAATGCAATGAATTCGGCTGCTCTTCATAATTTAAATTCTGCATATCATGAGGAGCTCATTGAGAAAGCAATGCATATCAAATTATTGAATTAGAGAATGATCATCATTAAAACAATTTACCTCCTCGGCTTCTTGTTTATCATCATCGTTTTCTTGGACTTGACAGACGATGTGGTCCATATTCTCCATTTTTATTTTTGAAGAATACTCATTTGAAAACACGATAAATACAACAAAAACCATTAGCACAATATTATCGTGTAGTATATGTGATTAAAATAAATACGTCATGAAAACAAATGTACATCATTATTAAGAGGCAATTGTTTTGAAATATACTCATGAAAAAATAATCAAACCTTGCACAATGAGAAAGCATGTGTTTAGTGAATGTACAAATGAACCTATAAAAATTTCAATTACTAAATCTATTTTCTTAAAAAAAAACTACGGTACAAAATAGTATATTTGGAGAGCCAATTTTGTAGGCATTTTTGAGAAAACAAATTGTTCAGGTCTAAAATAGACATGGGAGCACATTCAGACTCAGCCAATTTAGGTTGCTAGTCAATCATACCTTTATATATAAGAAAAGACTATCTAATCCAGGTCATATTTTTTGTGGAAATTTCCAAACAACATTCATAGGAATAAGAAGTGGATAGAATAAAAAAAAATCAAGATTAAGTTGACCTTTTAAGGCATATGTCAAATTACATGATCTTTACATTTAACAATACTAGGTTTGTTCACATAATCTAGGTTTCTTACTTTTATTCAAATGTATAATGTATAATTA